GTCAAAACGGGCCCTCATGAAGGAGGCCATTTCCCATCTTATCAAAATAAAAGCGGTAGAACCGGTTCCTCCCGATCAGAGGGGGTGAGGCTTTTACTCAATCCTCTTTATAGTTCCAAAGACCTCGGGAGGATGGAGGGCATTCTGGACCTAAAAAGGTTAAATTCTTACCTGCAATCCATTTTGGCCAGCATAAGAAGGAACGACCTCCTGACGTCCATCGACCTCACGGAGGCGTACCTACATATCCCAATTTTTCCATCACATCGCAGCTTTCTCAGATTCTGCTACAGATCTTATCACTATCAATACAGAGCGCTTCCGTTTGGCCTTTCATCCGCCCCGAGGGTATTCACAAAGATCTTGTCGGTTCTGGCAGCTCACCTCAGACTGGATTCCATTCGGATCCAGTGTTACCTGGATGACATCCTCATCCAATCAATGTCGGTCCAGGGTGCGAGGTCAGAGGTAACCCGTACAATAGAGGTGCTCCAGAACCACGGATTCTTGGTGAATTTTCTCAAAAGTCAACTGATTCCATCCACACGGCTCCTTCATCTGGGAGCAGTGATAGATACAACACGCTGCATGGTCTACCTGTCGCCAGACCGCATAGCCAGTCTCAGGGACCTTGTCTGCCAGGTGCAACGCACCAGGACAGTTCCGCTTCTCACTCTCTCCCAGCTCTTAGGCAAGATGATCTCTTGCATCGCCATCGTACCTTGGACCAGACTACATTCAAGAGCCCTTCAGTGGTTCCTCCTCCCCTTTCAGAGGCGAAAATTAACATCCTCCAACAGGCAAGTGAGGTTGACTCCTCTGGTATCGAGTTCACTTCGATGGTGGAGTTCTCGGGCCATCAACAAGGGCTCGAAGTTCAGAGAGCCGTCACAGATCGTGCTCACCACAGACACGTCTCTTCGGCTGGGGGGCTCACCTCCAGTCTCAGATAGCCCAGGGGAGATGGTCCAAGGAGGATTTGAAACACAATATAAATTGGCTGGAGCTCAGGGCAATTCACCTGGCGTTGTGTCACTTCAGTCACAAGGTGAGAGGCCAGCATGTTCTCGTCCTCACTGACAACATAGTGGCCAAAGCCCATGTGAACCGTCAAGGAGGCACTAGGTCGAGTTCTCTGATGATGGAAGCCAGACTGCTCTGCTCTTGGGCAGAGGCCATTCTGTCCTTGATAAAGGCGGATCACATCTCGGGGGCAATCAACCAGCAGGCGGACACTCTCAGCAGGGCGACAGTGGATCATTCAGAGTGGCGACTGGATCCAGCACTGTTCCTAGCAATACCTCACAGGGTAGGCCACCCGGTTCTAGACTTATTCGCCTCGGCAGCGAACTCCCAACTTCCAAGGTTTTTCTCCCGTTTTCCGTCCCCGGGGTCAGAGGGGGTAGATGCCCTGTGCATTCCGTGGCCCCGGGGACTTCTTTACGCCTTTCCTCTGCTCCCTCTACTTCCGGCCGTCATCCGCAAGATTCTGTAAGAGAAGGTGGAGGTTGTCCTCATAGCCCCTCATTGGCCGAGGTGCCCGTGGTTCGCCGATCTCATGAGCCTGTCAGTATCGGTTCCATGGAAGATACCCCCGGACCGAATAGCACTCAGTCAAGGGGCGCTCTGGCATCCCAACCCTCAATGGCTACAGTTAGCCGTATGGTGCTTGAGCGGAGATGTCTGATTGAGGAAGCTTATCCTCCAAGGGTCATTGATATGATCCAAGCGTCTAGACGCCCGTCAACTAATAGAGTTTATGACTCTACTTGGAAGAGTTTTATATCTTGGATGTCCAAGCATCATGTCCAGTTGTCATCTCTCATGGTGCCTCAGGTGCTACAGTTTTTACTGGATGGGATGGATAAGGGTCTGTCTCCTAGTATATCAGGAGACAAGTTGCGGCTTTGGCCATGGTTCTTTCTTGTGACGACTCTTCCTCACTTGCACACCGTCCAGTGATCCGTTCTTTCATAAAGGGAGCAATTAATACTAGACCTCCAACGGTTCATCGGTACCCCTCTTGGGATCTTTCGAGAGTTTTGCAGGCCCTTACCGGGTCGCCTTTCAAACCACTTCGTTCCTGTGATCTCAATCTCTTATCTATGAAGGTGGCCTTTTTAGTGGCAGTGACCTCGGCCAGGCGCATATCTGAATTGGCCGCCCTCTCAGTCAAGGAGGATCTCTGCCTATTTCGGCCCGACTGCGTGATCCTACGATTGAATCCCATCTTCATTCCTAAGGTGAACTCTTTGTTTCACCGGTCACAGGAGGTGGTGTTGCTGAGTTTCTGCCCTAGTCCATCTTGTGACTTGGAACGCAGATGGCACACCTTGGATGTTCACAGGGCGCTATGCATTTACATTAAAAGGACTGTTTCTTTCCGTAGGTCAGAGGCACTTTTCCTCTCTTTCAATCCTGCCTCTATGGGGCTCAGGGTTTCTTCTTCCACTATTGCCAGGTGGATTAAGGCTTGTATTGCCAAGACATACCAATCGCAGTCTTTAGCCATTCCTTCACGTATCACGGCTCACTCTACTCGTAGTGCTGCACCTCTGCGGCCTGGGCCACTCAGGCGCCCATAGGCGACTTCTGTAGGGCAGCGACCTGGTCGTCGCCTTCCCCATTTATCCGTCACTATAAAATTGATAGCTTTGTCTCTGCTGGTGCTGCCTTTGGCCGTAGAGTATTACCTGAACGCCTTTTCTCAGCATGATGATGGATAATCCACTCCCGCCCTTTACTGATTACTGGGCACTGTGGCAGGAGTCTGGAAACCAACGCGTCTGGCTTTGTCTGTTGCTTCACCTTCGTCGGAACTGGGTAAACGTGACCCAGCAAGAGGCGTGGCTATCTCTCAGTCTTAGTCTAATTGGGTAGAAGGGACTTCAGGAAACCCAATCTGTGGATTATCCATCATCATGCTGAGAAAAGGCGTTCAGGTAAGACAACGCCTCTTTCCTTGGTTGTTTGATATATTTATGGATAAATATTTAAGGAATGCCAATAGTGATATTGAGAGTGTGTTAATTGAGATACCAAATGCAAATAATGCTGTGGTTTGGTTGAGAATCAGAATGTTTTGTAGTGAATGTTAGATAGATTGTGTGATGCAGCTGCAGTAAGAATAAGAACCTGGAAATATAATAAAAGACCAAGATAAATTATGTTTTACAGGAATACTGGGGACAGGAAAAATTAGATATGTAAGATGGATTTCTATTATTAAAGATGGAGAAATCAGGAAATTTTAGGACATAATTGTGTTGATAGAAAGGTAATTGGTAGAAAGGTATGTTCTCTTTTGTGAGGAATGGATGTTTATTGAAAGAAGCAAAAGGACATATAAGAACATGCTTCTGCTTGCTCTTCAACATGGAAGTGAGAGTTGTCTGGACACCTTAAGAAAATCTGCAAGATTGTGTTATGGAGGTCTCTAGCTAGCCATCCTTGAAGCCATTGTAATATATTTTCCACAAGTCCTTCAAATCATTGATTCTTGAGGTCCAACTTATTTTTCAAAGTACCAGAAGGCAGGACAAGAAACAATGGATGAAAACTAATCAAGGAGAGAAGCAACCTAGAACTAAGGAGAAATTTCATGATAGTGAGAAGAGATTGGACAGCCATTTGTCCAGAATGTTATAGGTTCTGCTTGAGCAGGGTGTTGGACTACAACAGAGGTCCCCAACCTTTTGAGCACCAGGGACCGGTTCCGTAGAGTGAGATTTTTCTGTGGACTGGAGGGGGCATGGTTTCATGTACTGTGCCTGCATCCTGCAGATGGGGCTTTGCTTGTTTGCACAGCCTGGTTTCTGGCATGCCACGGCCCGGTGCCGGTCCACAGACCAGGGATTGGGGACCCCTGGAGTAGAAGACCTCCAAGGTTTCTTCCAACTCTGTTATTCTGGAGCTGAGTTTCCCTGACAGAAGATGGCAGTAGCTTGCAACTTTTCCTGCCTGCTTCTCCATGGATTTTGTGAGAAAGTTGGCAGAGAAGACTGCAAATGGCAATCATATGAGTGCAGGGTGCTTGGCAACTGGAAACTTGGCAATAAGTGTGAACAAGTTGCCAAGCACCTAGATAACAATCACATAACTGCAGTAATAGACAAAACCCTAGAAATGCCTTATGGGCCATAAAGATCCATTTCAAAGGCCATTGTAATTTCAAACGGTAGTTAAGCAACCAGTTATATTTTGAGGACTACTACTATATTATACTACAAATACTATTTTGTTGACACTAGAAAAAACACCAGTTACTGTCCCTTATATGTATTTGATAATGGGACCTTAACGGGGCCACAGGGGAAAAATAAGATCAGAAAGTGGTTACAAGACAAAAAATATTGGGAAATACTGCTCTAAAGGAGTTCTTTATCCAATGAACTTTATTATAATGCTTTGTAAAATAAGTAAAACCTTTAACTCTGTTTCTTAATGCCCTATCAGTGGTCTTATAAGAGGAAGACTGGAGCTAACTTTACTGGGGTTGTCTCAAAATGTTCTTGATGTATGAGGAGGAAATCCAAGTAATATCCTTTGTGTATGCTACTTTAGAACACTGATGATTGGTTTGGGTAATGAAATGTCTACAAGAAAATGTCAAGCTCAGAAAATACCAAGGACTCCTTACAAGTCTTCACTTTCCATAATTGGCAAAAGGCACATTATTATTTTGGTATTGGGATCAATGCCTGGAGGTATGCTTTGACTAGTGCATCTTATTAACCATTATTTTGTTTATAGTTCAAGCAAACAATTAAAAAATAGGAATGAATGAGTTTTGAAGTGACCATGAAGAAAAAGTATGCACTGTACAAAAAACAGGTTTTAACAGACTCATTGTTTGTAAATAAATGGGGTTAAAGGAACAAACTTTAAATACTTCTGCCATTATCTTTCTTAAAAGATGAGAAATGTAATTTTAATTCCTTTTAAATTGTATATAACATTTGAATATACATGTTTTCAAATACTTCATAATTGTTTTTCAGCTGACATAGCTCAAAGGTATAGGATAAGTAAGTACCCAACCTTGAAGTTGTTCCGGAATGGGATGATGATGAAGAGAGAGTATCGAGGTCAAAGATCAGTGACAGCAATAGCAGATTATATCCGGCAACAGAAAAGCAATCCAATTAGAGAAATACTAAGCTTGGAAGAAATTAACTCTCTTGATGTGAGTTGTATGCATAAAAGTGTATGTTGATTGCCATATATAAATTGGAAAATGTATGTTTGCTGCTTAGCAAATTATATTTATTTTCTCATTTAGTTGAAGACTGTTTAGAAATCTTATAACCTCTGTTATAATACTTTTAATATTTTAAACTTTTAAAATGTATTTAAAATTAATGTTAATTTTAATATCTTCCTTGGTAGCATTGCAAATGTTGTAGAATAATTTTAGTTATGTGATTTATGTTGCCATGAAAGCAAACTTATTAGTCATATAATTTGTAGTGCTAAAATTTCCAAATTATTATAGTCATGGATGGGGACAGCCACCATGGCAAAGTGGACAAGGGACTGGATTAAGACAGAGGTGAGCCAGATTTAAGTCTACCATCAGCGATCAAAGATAACCTCAATCACTCCCTCTCTATCCAACCAATCTCCTCTCCCATGAGGAAAAAATAAAAGGAGTATTAAATATGACTTGCCGTCCTGATTCCTAAAGAAATGAGGTATACCTTTAATAAACAGTCATTATAATCTTATCATGGGCTCCTGTAAATGTGAATAGATATGCAGAGAATCTTGAAGTTTATGTGTGTTTCAAACCCAAAAATATATTTGGATAGACATTTATCTACTGTTGTATAAATTCTATAGTCACTCTTTTATCTTTTATATATATATGTTTTATTAGTTTTTATATGATTAGGAATGAGGTGGGGTTGGGATTGGGGTTGGGATTTGGGTTAGGGCAGGGGTAGGCAACCTCGGCTCTTTTATGACTCATGGACTTCAACTCCCAGAATTCCTGAGCCATTTTGGGAGTTGAAGTCCATGAGTCATAAAAGAGCCGAGGTTGCCTACCCCTGGGTTAAGGTTAGGATTAGGGTTGGGGTTAGGATTTTTTCAATAACATTCTCAATATTTAGCAAACAGCATCATGTCGGGGTTCATGTGTTTAACAAAAAATAATAGACAATAGCTAATTATCATCAACAATATGTTAATCACTCGATAGTCTCCTTGCTAATATATATTCGAAGTTACATATCACATTCCTTTCTCTCTAACTCGTTTTTCTAGCCATTGACAGACATTACCCCATGTTCTAAAATACACTGAGTCTTCTTTCTCTTTTATCTTTAAAGTCAATCTATCCATTTCTGCACACTCTAAAATTTTCTTAATTCTTCTTTTAGTTGGTAAATTTTCATTTTTCCACTGTTGGGCAAATACAATTCTTGCTGCAGTTAGTACGTGTAAAATTAAATATATACAATCTTTCTCATAATTTGCTAACAAAAATAATTCTGGCTTAAACTCTATTTGTTTTTTAGTTATTTTCTTCAACCAAAAATGTATTTTTAACCAAAATCTTTTTGCTTTAGGGCATGTCCACCAGATATGGTAATAAGTACCTGGTCTTTGTTTGCATTTCCAACACTTATTTGAAGTATTTTTAAACATTTTTGCTAATCTCACTGGTGTCATATGCCATCTGTAAAACATTTTAAATAAGTTTTCTTTATATGCCACTGCTTTAGTTAATTTGACATTTCTTTCCCATAATATTTGCCAGTCTTCTAATTCTATATTATATCCAAAGTTCTTTGCCCATATTATCATTGTTTCTTTTACTTGTTCTTCCTTCATCTTTAAGTTTAACAGTTATTTATAGAGTTTCTTAATCAACTTTTCATCTGTTTTAACGGTATCTGGTCAAATTCTCTCTGTTCTTTATAAAATCCCATTATTTTAACATCTTTTTCATATCTCGTTTTGATTTGCAAATATGGTCACCATGATAGATCAATACCTTGTTCTTGTAAATCTTGTCTGTCTTTCAATTTTCCTTTATTGTCCAAGATATCTTTATAGGTCACAACTTTATCGTAATTAATTAAATTTGGTAAGCAAAAGCTTCCATCGTTGAAAGCCATCCAGGTATCTTAATGTAAAATTTATATAAGAAGTGCATTTCTTATAAAGCAGTTTTGAAAATATCTATGTATTTTATTCTTCCCATACCACAGAAACGTGTGCCAATCAATTTGTGGGCCATGCCCCTCTAGGTATAATAGTCTTTTATCTCTAAGCATTATTCATTCTTTAAGACATGTTAAAATAGTTGCTTGGTAGTATAACATCCAATCGGGCAGTCCAAATCCTCCATTTTCTTTCACTTCTTGTAGCATTTTCAGTCTAATTCTAGCTTTTTTTCCTTGCCAGATAAATTTCAGTATTGTTGTATTCAATTAATCAAAAAAGACTTTTCCCAGCCTTACAGGAATCGTTGAAATAAAAAGAGTATTTGGGGTAAGATATTTATTTTTCACTGTTGCTGTTCTCCCCAGCATTGAAAGTTGTAGGTTTTTTCACTTTTCCAGGTCCAGTTTTATTTGTTTTAGCAGTCTTGCATAGTTATCTTCTTTTATTGTTACACATCTTGCTGTTAGGTAAATTCCCAAATATTTAACTTTTTTAACTATTTGAAGATTTGGGGTTTTTTTGCTAGTTGATTTTTTTGTTTTTCCGTTAGATTCTTTGTTAGCCCTTTAGTCTTTTCTCTGTTTATTTTCAATCCTGCCACTTCTTCAAATTTTTCAGTTTTCTCCATAAGTTTAGTGCTTGTCCAATATAAAAACCAAGTCATCTGCAAATGCTTGTAGTTTATATTTTTCATCTTTTATCTCCAGTCCTTTAATTTCTATATCTTGTCTGATGTTTCTGTTCAATACTTCCAGTGTTCGTATAAATAATAATGGAGATAGTGGGCATCCCTGTCTTGTACCATTTTTAATGTTAAAGTTTTCTGTAAAATCTCCATTTACAATTATTTTGGCTGTTTGTTTACAGTAAATTATTTTAATTACATTTATAAAGTTTTCTCCAAAATCCATTTCCACTACTTGCTGGAACATGAATTGCCAGTTTACATTGTCAAATGCTTTCTGTGCATCAAGGAATATTAAAGCCATCTGCTTCCCTGGATGAGTTTCATAGTACTCTAACACATCAAGAATCATTCTTAAATTATTTTTTATCTGTCTTTTAGGTAGAAAACCATTTTGGTCTGTACGTATAAATTTGATCAAAAATAGGACTTAGTATGTCTTGTAATAATTTATAAAACTCTGCAGGTGTATCCATCTGGACCTGGAGTTTTATCATTTTTTTGCTTTTTTATAGCCTCTATAATCTCCATCATTGATATTTTTCCATTTAAGATATTTTGAATATTCTCTAAAATTTTTGGTAAGTCTGCTTTTTTTAAATACTGCCGTATTTTTTCTTTTGGAATTTCCTCTGCACTATAAAGTATCTCATAATAGTCTTTAATAATTTTTTAATTGTATCATTTTGAAACTGTAATTCACCTTTGGGATCTTGCAGCTTATTTATCAGTTTTTTCTCTTTTTCTTTTTTCAGTCTATATGCTAACCATCTCCTCAGCTTGTTAGCATTTTCAAAAAAGTTCTGTTTAGCCCTTTTAATCTTCATAAATGAAAATGGATATCTTCTACACAGGCACACGTAAAACATTATTTTGATGAAAATATAGGTTCTTAATCAAAATGGATAAAATAACTATTATTAATAAGATTAATACCTTCAAGATTCTCTGCACATTTTTTGTTACAAGGGTGTACTTGAGATCCTGGACTATGATTTTTTGCTAATATTACATTTGATTCTAATAGACATCATCTGTTCTGTTTAAAGAACTATAGAATTAATGAAAATACTAATTTTTTAAAGGGCGAGTTAGTGTTATGTATGTTTTATGTGTTACAGCGCAGTAAAAGAAACATTATTGGCTATTTTGAACAAAAAGACTCTGATAATTACAGGAACTTTGAAAGAGTAGCAAATGTTTTGCATGATGACTGTGTCTTCCTAGCTGCATTTGGGTAAGCTTTTTAAATGTATGAATTGCAATAGGTTAAATAGAAGTATATTACTTATTGAAAATATAACTTTTATCCTTATGAATTAACACATGATTCCAGAAAGTTTTATATTAGCATCCTTTCTTTAACAATGGTATGAAAACAATTTTAAAAAATATATTTTTCAAATTTGGTCTTGAAACTAGTCTCTCCATAAAACAGCAGCCCTAGTACTATTATCTGTATCTTCCTTATACACATTCAACCTTGGAAAATCGGCCTAGGAGGCAGAGAAATTGAGGAGCCCCTATGTTTGTGGTGGTCTGGTGGCGCAGTGGTTAGAATGCAGTATTTCAGGCTAACTCACTGCTCACTCCAGAAGTTTGATTCTGAACAACTCAAGGTTGACTCAGCCTTCCATCCTTCCAAGGTTGGTAAAATGAGGACCTAGATTGTTGGAGGCAATATGCTGACTTTGTAAACCGTTTAGAAAGGGCTGTAAAGCACTAAGAAGCAATATATAAGTCTAAGTGCCATTGCTGTGTTTTAAACTTAATTAGCTGGTCTGTTCACTGCAGTTAGCACTTAGAGTGATAATCAAATGAGGATGTGTTGTTTTAATAAATATATCCTTGTGCAGGGTAGAAAAGCAATTAAATTTATTTGCCTTAGCTAATAAATGATGGCTAAAATAAATGATACTTTAGCATGATATCTGAGTTCAGCCAATGACTAAATATTTGTTGCTATTCCAGTATTTATTTTCTTGTTTTGTATCCTAGAATAGTAAGAACAAAATTATTTTAATCCTTAGGTCTGTTTCCAAACCAGAACGATTTAGTGGGGACAACATAATATATAAGCCAACAGGGGTAAGTTTTCCCCCCCCCCTACCTATTAAATTTGATGAAATGTTTAAAATTAGCCCAAATCATTAAAATTATGCATACAGGTAGTCCTCATCTAACAACCACAATTGACCACAAAATTTATGTTGCTAAATGAGACATTTATTAAGCATGTTTTGCCCCATTTTTAAGACTTTTCTCACTACATTTGTTAACTGAATCACTGCAGTTGTTAAATTAGTAGTACAGTTATTAAGTGAATCTGGTTTCCTCATTGTCTTTGCTTGTCAGAAGGTTGCAAAAGATCACATGACCCTGGGACACTGCAACCATCATAAATGTGAATCAGTTGTCAAGCATCCAAATGTAAATTACATGATCATAGGGATGCTGCAGTGGTCATAAGTGTGAAAAATGGTCATAAGTCACTTTTTCAAGTGCCGTTGTAACTTCAAACGATCACTAAGCGAACTGTTGTAAGTTGAGGACTATCTGTATATTATGCTAATAACTGGATTTCATTCTTATAGAAATACAGATATAATTTGCTCAGGTAGCATTATCTAGGCTTCCAAATAATTATTTATTATTTATATTTCATTTATATTTCTTCTTGATCTCTATACTTCATGGCTTTCTGCATCTATCCAAAGAATCACAAGAAAAGTCTTTCTTACAGTTAATAGTTTTTACTGAAGTAGTCTCTAGATTTTTTTTGTATCTATTTAGTTTTTAAGTTCATTTCTAATTATTTATCATTTTCTTAATAGATTTTTTTTTAATTTTGGAGTACTGTATGGCTCTGAAGGCTTTCTTTCAAAATATACTAATTAAGACAATACACTTGCCCATATAATAGAATTCTCTGGTCTTATCTGCTTACAGATCTGTTTTAGTAGATACCGTATTTTTCGCTCTATAAGACGCACCTGACCATAAGACGCACATATCTCCTTGATTAGTTTTCACCCATTGTTTCTTGTCTCGCCTTCTGGGGCTTTGGAAAATAAATTGATCCCCTCCTCTTTGTGGCAGCCCCTCAAATACTGGAATATTGCTATCATGTCAACCCTAATCCTTTTCTCTTGACTGGCCATACCCATTTCCTGCAACCGTTCTTCGTATGTTTTAGTCTCCGGGCCTTGACATTTTAGTCTCTCCCATCTCCCAGCAGAAAATTACAGGTAGCAGTTTTAAATCATGCAGCATAAGGATAATAACATTTGGAAAGAGAAAGAATATGCTGCAGCAGCCAACATGTTCCAGCCTTGTCCCTTCGCTTCCTCCAGGCTTCTCCCCCAACCTGCCTTTCACTCACCTTCCATTTGCTGTTTCGAGCCTGGGAAGAACACTCCTCCATCCTCCTATGGGTGAGAAGGAAGAGGAAGATCCTCAGCCCTTTTCCTCTCCGCGACATCCTTTCTAGCAATACTCGATGGTGTTGTGTTAGAGCGCCACCTAGTGACGTAAGGCTTCCCTGCCAGTATATGCTCTCCTCCCCTGCACTCAGGCTTCAGCTCCAGGCAGCATTCGCTCCATAAGACGCACAGACATTTTCCCCCACCTTTTGGGGGGGGAAAGTGCGTCTTATAGAGCGAAAAATACGGTACTTGCAGCATTTCCAGATTACTAAACTGAACAACTCTGTTTTTTCTTGTGGGCCATTGTCAGTACCTCGGGCAATTTATTTAAAGCAGGACATTTTTTATTCTAAATCATTTTATAGGTCTAGTTTGTTAGTTTCTGAACTTAAATTTGGTCTTAACAATTGGATCCTAGAACTTAAAACTGATTCAGAGCATCAGACTCTATAATTAGACAAAGTTCTTACACCAAAAGGATAGATCTCATTCCAAAAAGAAAACTCCCAAGAGTTATATTACCAATCTTTGAAGCATTCACTATATGGTAGGCCTTTTTACTGTATCATCGTAGTATAAGGGATTGATTTTTGAGAATCCAAAAGTTGATACCTTTTTAAAGATTTTTGATACTTTAATTCAAGTCATAGTCATGTTCTTAAGAAAATGTTAACTTCTCTGTTGCTTACAGAATGATTACCCTTATCCATCAAAGGGTAGTGCCCAATTTTCCTATGACTCAATACTCATTTTGTTGGCTGGCATTGTGATTGAATCCTAGAACCTTCAGTAAACTATCACCAGCTCTTGGATTAGAAACAAAATCAAGCCATTTTCATCCAAGTAATTATATAACGTGAAATTGCAAAAAAGTTATTTCTTCTTACTCTGTTTTCCATATAAACTCTAATTTATAATTCAGACATGTAGAATATGGTTAATCATAAGCAGGTTTCTCCCACAAAATCAGAAATCTAAAAACATACAAATACTTTTAAAAAACAGGGTTAGTTATTCAAATAAAATAGATACCTTTGCAAATATAACAAACCATCTTTGCTCTAATTGGTAGATATTTGCAAACTTTGAGGAGACAATAAAATGCAACAACTGGTAGATAAATAAGACAAGTTTTCAATACAGTCCCCTCCCAAGGAAATTGCAATGTGGTTACAACTATTAAGTGTATATTTCCCAACTGTGAGGAAATGAAACATTCTGGAGAACTCTAAAATATTTTTTTTCTTTTTTAACGATAGCAAACTGATTTTCTGAGATGGGTCAGCTTTTTTTTATTTAACCTCTAAACTAGAAGCAGCTTGTGCTCTGAATTAAATAGATCTGTATGGGGGCAAGATATATATTTGAAATACCATAGAATGCTTCGTTGTTGAAAATTACCTTCTGGAAAACAATCAGACCATTTCTAGGGTAACTATATTAGTTCAGTCTGTAGAAAGAACAAGTATTCTATTACCTGAATGGTGCATTTTACACATTCCCTGATCTTAATCTTCTCACTGACTCCTTTATTTTTAGAAGCTATGGTATGCAGCATGTGTTGCTTCCTGAGAAGAGCAATAAATTTTCTAACCATTAATGGGCGGAATATTAAATTAAAATTGTATAACTGAATTATTCTTGTCTTATCAACAATTTCTGTTGATTCTGTCCATTCCCTGGCAAGGACAACTGATTACATATGACAGTGATTTCATCTTCCTTACTGTAACATTTAAAAAAAACATGTCAAAGAATGACACCTTCTGTGTCATTCAGTGTCTATCCTGATAGATTAGGGAATCTTAAAAAGAACAGAATAACAGAATTGGAAAGGACCTTGGAGTCCAACTTTCTGCTCAAGCAGGAGTCCCTATACCATTTCAGACAGATGGTTGTCCAATCTCTTCTTAAAAACCTCAAGTAATGGAGAACCCACAACTTCTGAAGGCAAGTCATTCCAATTGTTCTAACTATCAGGAAATTTCTCTTTAATTCTAAGCTGGTTCTCCCCTTGATTAGTTTACATTTATTGCTTCTTGTTCTATTTTCATGAGCTTTGGAAAATAGGTTGACTCCCTCTTATTTGTGGCAGCCCTTAAATATTGGAACCCTGCTATCATGTCACCCCTGGTCCTTCTTTTCATTAAACTAGACATACCAATTCCTGCAACAGTTCTTCATATGAACTATTTTTCATATGTTTAGTCCCATAATCATCTTTGCTGTTCTTCTCTTTCACTCTTTCTAGAGTCCTCAACCTCTTTTTTTATATTGTGATGACCAAAACTGGATGCGCTATTGCAAGTGTGGTCTTATCAGAGCATTATATATATTACATACATTATGAAACTTCCTTGGTTTGTGCCCAAATTTGGAAAATATTTATTCACATCTCTTGAATGCAAATCAGATAATTATTTATACTTAGGCATAACTAAATAGACTAGTCTCAGTCCCTCAGATAATTAGCTAACAATTAAGAATGTAATCCAGAAAGTCCCCTATCCTTTTTATTCTGCAAACAAAAACAAAAAAGCCATAGCTTTTTGGGGGGGCTTTGAGAAATTTGCATTTTGACATGAAAACTTCATAAGAAAAGAAATTAAAAAACTATAACCTCCTGCCAATTTACTTCTGTTTCCTAATTATTTATATTTTTAACTATATTTTCTACTATTCTTAATCTTGAATAGATATTGTGAAAATCAGTTCTATTATTCAATTTCTTGAACAATTTTCTTGATAGTATTTATTTATTCAATTTATATCACTATCCATCAATCTGAGAAACACTGGATGATGAACAAAATAAAAGCATAAAATTAAAGCCAAAAAGAAACAAAATGAAGACTACTGTAGAATTTCTACTTATCATATACATTCATGCAACAGGTCCAATAACAAGCATTCCTGTATTTAGGTATTTACTTCTATAGCAAAAATTAAAAAAAACAACAACAAAGCAAAACAAAGAATTTGCAGTATGTTAAGATAATATCAGTGTTTTAAAATTTGTATTTGGTGTCATTTAAAGAAGGCTAGATTTTCAATGTACGTGTTTCTAAATAGTATAAGGTGAATCCTTCTCCCACTTGTTATAGCGTGTTGGTGTTAACTATGAGTGATTCTGTGAGTTTCCAAGCCACTGAAATACTGCTACTGACTGTTGCTGGCCATAGCATGGAAGCATTTTGTAATGAGCTGCTACAGGTCACAAATGTTTATAACAGAATGTCTTTAGTGCCTTGTGATATGGCCTCTTAGTTATACTTTGTTTATCAAATTTAGATACTGCCCATCTCACCCTTGGAGATTATAATATTATATTACTTCTCCTGTGTTAATTTATACTTAATTTTAACATCATGTTTTAACAGGAAAATGCTCCAGATATGGTTTACTTGGGTTCTATGACTAATTTTGACTTGGCTTATGCATGGACTCAAGACAAATGTGTTCCTCTTGTTCGTGAAATTACATTTGAAAATGGAGAGGTAAATACTATCTGGTTATTCAGGCCTTTTATTTAAGGGATAAATGGTTACAAATGAAATTGATTTAATCCAAAATTAAGTGTCAAATGCCTTTCATTACTTTATAAAGCCACTTATTTTAAGCCTATTGGAGGATAAGCCAACTCTAGAATTTTTAACCAAAGTACTATAAAAAATGTGCCACCCACAGATAAACTAATTCTCAAACATTTTGTATATATTTTTACTATGTTCTGAATGACTTCATTTGTATCAATAAATGTAGTTTATCAGAACAGATTAGATTTTAAATTTTCACAATTGGCTTAACCATTGGTGGTATATTTTTCAAGAAATTTTAATTTGGCTTATCTGTGAGTATATACTGGTACTATAAAAATGCATTACTGCATTTATCCACAGATAGGCCCATCCATGGATAAATCAAACCCATTTTTGTGTATTTTAGAACTTAAAATTTTAAGTTTATCCACATATATATAGAGTATTTATGCATTTCCAGAATATCCTTTCCTGCCTAAATTGTCAACTAACAAAAATTACTGTGTGAGCTTCAAAATAGAAAATTTCTTCTCAGAAGCAAGTAAATAAAAGTATTGAACAATATGATGATGATGATGTCTATGATGGTGTCTATTATGTCTGGAAGTTCAGTGTGAATGCTTATTACAGATAGAAAGGCTGCTCTGGACATGTTTGAGCTGCAATGTAAATGATGAACAAAATTCAGAAAACTATATGCTCTTTATTTGCTTTTTACAATGTATAAGATATCAACCAGTTATGATTATTTTTTGAGTATTTTTCAGAATTCCAGACATCAAAAACATCTTTTGTATCTGATATTCTGTATTTTCTTTGTTACTCCAATCTTTCGTTTCTGTGAGAGGAGGAGGGGAAAAAAACAAGCAATTTGTGTAAATAATTCCCCCCTTGCAAAGTAGAGAGATCAGAGAGGTCAACTTACACTGATTGTGATGGTGATTACAGAATTGGTGAATTGGTTGTAAAGTTGTTTTTTTCAGGAATGTCATAACTTCGAGTTCTCACTGAATTAGGCATTCTGTAGGTAAGAACTATTAAGAATTTGAGAGACCAACTTGAAATATTTTTTTCATTTGAGAAGGGATTTATCAGTGGGTAGGAGAGTGGTATTCCTATTACCTAAGCAATTTGCGAAATCTATATGTACAGGTAATCCTCGACGTAACAACTGTAATTAGGATTGGGAATTCAGTCGTGCTTTTGTTTTGTGGCAGTCATTAAGGGAACCCATTAATTTAAATGGGCATTTATGTTGGAAACTGGAAAGAACAATCACAAATCACAGTCTTGTGACTGCGGAACACTGTGGCCAGTCATAAAGCTGACCTGCCCAACATACAGTCACCTGACTGTGGAGTGTGTGTGTGACCATTAGTGGTGGCCATGGTGCCTTACAAACCATAAAGCACCCATTCCATAGCCATCGTAACTTCAAAGAGTGGTTCCTAGTTCACCCCCTCCTCAAACACCCATCACTTGATCCCACCTGCCCCATTTTCCCATCTTCCCTTTTTTAGAGAAAATGGTAGAAAAGGTAGTTGCTTGGCAGCTTTAGAGAGTTCTAGTTGAAGTGGATTATTTAAATCCCTTTCAGTCAGTATTCAGTATTCTGGTCCGGTTATGGGACAGAAACAACATTTGTCGCACTTGTGGATGATCTCTGGCAAGATCAGGATTGGGGTAGTACAACTATCCTTGCTTTCCTTGACCTCTCAGCAGCCTTCAATACCACTGACCATGGTATTTTGGGGGGCCAGCTATGGGATCTATGGCTGGGTGACATAGTCTTGCATTGGTTCATTCTCCTTTCTCCAAGACTGGTCCAAATCAATATTGATAGGAAGTGAGAGAGCCAGCCCATGGACATTCTTCTGTGGCATGTCACAGGGCTATTCTCTCCATTCCTTTTTAACATTTAAACATCTACATGAAGCCTCTGGGTGAGATCATCTGTCATTATGGTTTGAGGTATCATCAGTATGCGAATGATACTCAACTTTATATCTCTACCCCTATTATACCCAAATAGTACTGTTGCTGCCATTTTACAGTGCGTAAGAGGCTTTTGGGCCTGGATGGGGAACTACAGACTTTGACTAAACCCTGGTGAGACCAAATGGCTTTTGGTGCACGAAGTTTCAATATCCGGGATTTTAAACCATTTCTGGATAGGATTGCATCTCAAACAGACCAAGTCTGCAACTTGGTGGTTCTCCTGGACCTGTAATTCCAGCTTGAAGAGCAGAGGGCAGTCACAGCTAGGAGAGCTTTTGCAAAACTTTGGGTTGTGTGCCAGTTGTGGCCTTTCCTGGATCAGGAATCCCGTGCTCAGTCATTCAAGCCCTGGTCACCCCAGTTTGGACTACTGCAATGCATTCTACATGGGGCTATCTTTGAAAGCATTCGGAATTTTTAACTGGTGCAGAGTGCGGTGGCATGTGCAATCTTTGCAGCTCCTAAAGTGGTCCGTGTTACACTGTTGTTCTGCAAGCTTCACTGGCTGCCATTTTGCTTCCACGTGCAATTCAAGGTGTTGGTTACCTATAAAGATCTGCATGGCATGGGTCCAGGTTATTTGAGGAACTATGTCATCGGTGCTGGCAGAGGATACATGCTTCAGATCTTGTTAGTCAAGGAATTGTGTCTAGTGGGTCCAGGAGAAGAGCCTTCTCTGCTGCAACCCTATTCCTTTAGAACATCTAAAGGAATACTAAAGTACTAAACTAGAGGTGATTGATCGACTAAGAGCAATTCCCACCTCTTCCCCCTCCCCAGTACATTCTGAACTCTTCCTCTCCATCTTTGAGTATAAAGAGTATAACGCCTTTGAGTTATAACCTGTATTTTTATTGCAATTTTATTGTGATTTTATACATTTACATGTATATTTATGGTTTTGCTTTGATATTGTAAGCTGCCCAGAGTCATTTATTTATTTATTTATTTATTTTATTTATTTTTTGGATTTATATCCCGCCCTTCTCCCGTAGGACTCAGGGCGGCTGACAATCTATTTAAAATACATACAAAACAATACAAATTTAAAATTAGTTAAAAGGAATATTTAAATATTTGTCGAATTTAAAATATAATTAAAACCCCCCTAAAAATTACCCTAGGCCAGTCCTGCAAGCTGGAATAACCAA